TGACAATTCCAGTGTTTTAAACTCCTGGAGGAGCACTCCCTGAGACAATTCCAGTGTTTTAAACTCCTGGAGGAGCACTCCCTCTGACGGCAGCGCTGCAGCACGACAGAAGAGCACAGACAAAAGAGGGCAGGAGCTGAAGCAGATCTGTCAGCAATTGTACCAACACAGCAGCAAACTCATGGGCTCAAGCTGTTCCACCTCATTAGCCAGACAGGTTGGGAAAGCAAACCATTCTTCCTGCAGGAGATGGGTGGGGAGAGGAGAAGAGGCTGAGAAAGGAGAGTTTAGAATCTTTTTGCCCTGGAGTTTTTTTGTTCCTAACTTATCCCTGTATGAGCAGACAACAGAATCATAAGTGTGGGGGGAAGCAGGGGGTTCAATGCCTGAAAATTCTTCATTTGTGCCAGAGGAAGCAGCTTGTGGAGCACAGAACAGAGCTCCAGGCTGCACACTCAATGAATCCTCGTGGATTCAACTCAGAATATTCTGTGTGAGCAGGGCAGGAGGCTCTGACTGGCTGCTGGGGGTCCTGCCTGGGATCCCCTTCCCTCTGAACTCATCTGGGCTTCTCCAGCTGCCTCATGGTGCTTGGGCTTTTCCCTCTCAGAGAAGAGAGGCTGGCTGCAGGCACCTCAGAGCAGCACTGCACACCCATTTTACACAGACATCCCCCTGATCCAGGCTTCTTCCCACCAATCCCTCTCCAAAAATCCTCTGCACCTCCAGCTCACCACAGCCTGTCCTGGCCCACACACCTCTACTCACCAGCAATCCTGCCACTCCTGCTACTCCAGACCTTCCACAGCACTTCTTTCACACCTCACCTCGAGACTTCAGGCCCACAGTGCTCCTCACTTATCCAGCTACAGATACCAAGCACAAGACAATCTGTCTAAAAAAAAAGACATCAAGAAGCTCCCAGCAGAACCATGCAAGGTCAGGCTGGTCACAAGGACCACGACCAAGGGAAGACAGTCAGCCAGCACTGCTCTCTGAGAACTTGCCTAGAAGAAAACCTGAGGCATCCACTGGGGAAAGGCCAAGACAAGGATTTTGTGGGTTTTTGTGAAGCCATCCAAGCCATTCTGCTTTCATAAAGTGGAAATGCCAACAGCCTGGCACTTTCTCCAACAACATCCCACCTGTGTTTCTGATTTTTCCACTCTTCTGAGGACAGCACAAAGGTGTGAGATCAAAGCCCAAAAGATCTTATCTCCAATTCAAGCACCCACAGAGGAATCTTCCACTTATCACCTCTCAGAGCGAGCCCATGAATTCTCACAATTCATTTGGGACAGGTCTGTTCTACCAGGTTCAAGCTGGGTTCACTTGAAATCACTGATCTTTAATATTTACATCACACAGCAGAGCCTGCAAGGGCAGCAAGCTGAGATCACTGGCCACAAAAACGCTATTTATCATGAAAAGCAGGGAAGAAGTCATGGAGAACAACTCTTGTTTCTGAAATCGTGGAGGAAGAAGGAAAAAAAAGGGATCGTGGCTCTGTCCAGCTCTAGAGGATTTCTCCCTGGCAAAGACAGCAGGGAGAGGGGAAAGCAGAACTGAAAGGCTGAAATGATTTGGAAGCAGCTGCAGGTGTGTGATGAACAGGTCAGTTCTCAGTCTGTGTGAGCAAATACCAGCGAGATGCCAGTGATGTAAGTGAGCCCAGCTTCCAGCTACAGGCACGGACTGAGCTCTTGCTGACATTCTCACAGCCACAGCAGGAGAATGCCTGACTGGGGTCAGCACTCAGCACCACAGGGAGGGTTCCTGAGTGGTGAGACAGCTCTACAGTGGGGAACAGGAGAGAAAAAAGAAGGCTTACTTTGGAGAGGCGCTTGTGTGACTTAATCGGAGAGAAAGCATGCAGGAATGAAAAGAGAGAAATTAGGGAAAAGAAGAAAAATTACCTCACAGATCAAGAGAAGGAGAACCCACACACCCAACAGAGAGCACTGAACCCCTCTTCCTTGTGGAAAGCACCAGGAATCAAAGTTCAGCTTCAGCAGTCACCATGCTGGTAAAAATCTCACTCCCATGACCTCAGTTTTGAGGGCCAGGATGATGCAGCTCCTCTCTGTGTTCCCCTTCCCAAGGAGCCCCTTTCCCTGGGAGCACCCCCAGGGTGGCTCCGAGCACAGCGTGCCCTGCACCCTCCTGCCATGCCACGGCTCCCTTTGGGAACACACTGCTGGCAGCCCCGTGCCAAGGGTGTCACCCAGCGTGGGACGGGGTTTGTAGGTCACTGCGTGCACAGGAAGCCAGGCTGACCTCAAGGGCAACCTCAGAACGCCAATGATTCAGCTTGAAAAACCCTTTTGGCCCCTCTTTTGAACTCACAGACTCCCCCCACAGTGGTGAGACATCAGAATGTGGGCCACTGAGTCCTGTTCCCTCTGCGGAGTGGCCACAGAGGGGAGGGGATGAAGATTTCTGGTCTGTGACACAATCCAGCAATAAATCAGGCAAAGATCTAACAATTCGTTTTATACAAGCCATCAGAATTCTGCCTGTGAAATTACCCAGGCTGAAACATCCCACTTCAAAAATCTGGGCAAACACAAGTGCTCCTGACAGCTGACACATCACTGATACCAGGGTTTATAATCAAAGGTTTGTTTGGTACCCCAGGCTCCTGTGTGTGATTTACCAGGCCCCACCGCTCACACAAAAACCTAGAGCCAAACCTGAAACCTTCTTCCCCTGCACAGCAAAGACAAGGCTGTTTCTAATCTGGTCCAAAGACACAAAACCTTCCTGGGGGAAAATATCAGGTATCCTGGGCAAGCCAGCCGTAACACTGCAGCCATGGAAGGAATGGGCAGAGGGTTGGAAAACTGATTCTGTGCAATTTGAATGATCCCAGAGGGCTTGGATAGGACTGGGGAAATGCACACGCCCTTCACAGGGGAAACCTTATTTATTTCATGATCCAGGTGATGAAAAGTAATTGCAACAGATTTTTGAGGTCTGTTGAAAATCCCTGGCGGAGGGGCTTTCCATGGAGACTCCAAGGAACAGGACCTTGACTAGAGAAGCCTCAGAGCTGTGCTGATGTCTGAGGACTCCGAGTTAGAAGAACCTTCAGAAATCCCATGGGGGAAGAGGGAGGGAAATGAGCCAGAGAAGAAGAAGAAGGCAGAGGCCAGAGCCACCGCCCTCTGCTCGCCCCTCACCTTGGAGTTCTTGGCCCCGCTGCGGCCGGACTGGGAGGAGCAGCTCCGCTGGACGCCCTGCTCCGGCGTGGACGGCGACTTGTCCGAGGAGTGGTCGGAGCCCTTCTCCACCATGGCGTCCCCCGGGGCGTCCTGCGGCGTGGGCGAGCGCGAGCGTTTGCGCAGGATCGGCGAGCAGGCGGGCGTGCTGCGGTTGGAGTTACTGGCGGTACTGCAGGGCGGAGGAAGGGGACAGAGAGCGGGGTTAGAGCACCTCCGAACCCCGAGCTGCTTCCTGAGCAAACCCACCCGCAGCCCCCCGTGGGTTTGGGCAGTTCTCTTTTAGCACGGCTGGAGGAACTGCTGGCAGAGCCTTTCTCCAACCACCCTTCAGCCCCTCAGACCACAGAGCAACGCTCGCGAGAGGGAACTCGTAGGCTCCGGTGGGCTCTCAGAGTTTCAAACGATGACCTGAGCTTAGAAAAATCCAATGTGCGCTCAAGAACAACAGAGGAGTCAGCACGTTCTCAATACAGCCTCCTTTATTAGTGCAGCTCTTCTCAACAGGATGCATGAAAATGGGGTCACATCTTTCAGAAAACACCCTATCAAAGGGCATCAGAAACGCTGGGGAGTCGTGGTGACATTCAATGCAACATTTCCTGTACAGAACCAGCTTTTTCCATACCAGTTAGAGCTGGGCATGAAAACGGTTTGCTGTGACCCAAGAGCCTTTGTGATGAGAAAAAAAAAAAAAAATTAAGTTCCTTTTTCACAATGGGAAAAGCAAGGCCTGTCTGAGTTTTACAGAAATTATGAGGGGAATGGAACTTCTCATTCTCTTTCCTCAGCAAATGCCCCAGCACACCTAGATCAGCAAGCCAGTAAAGTACAAACTAATACAGAACAGGAAAACTCGGATTTCCTCACTGCTCCTTCTCTTTTGATGCCTCTCCTTCCTGCCAGACTCCTCAAAATACCACACACTACACCCATTTTTCCCTCCGTCACTCATTTCCTTCAGGAGCCAAATCTATTTCTGACCAGACATCCTCAAGGCTTTTCCAGCTGGTCACAGAGGGGCCTGATGCAAGGATTGGATCTGTGCTAACTTCTTCAGGAGCCTCTTATCTCATGAGCAACACCAAACAGGCCACATCTGACAGCACGGGCAGCAGGGAAAGGATGGAGGAATTACAACTGCAAGGGACTGAATTAAGGGAATTGTTACAATCAGGCTCTTAATTTAAGCCAAATTGCACACAGCAATCACAATGATGCACAGCAAGGTACTCCAAATGGATCATTTCTTCCTTGAGGAGCTGAACACGTGCCTGAGGTTCCATTAATTCCCAGATAAAAACCATATCCATCCATTCTTACCTCTGAAGATGCCAAAACCATTTTACAAGCATTAGTTAGATATGAGCAGCCAGTGTAACACACTCCCCCAGCAGTCCCCAGGTTTGGATTGGTTTGGTTTTGGATGAACTGGTCTTGTAAATTCTCCTTTATTTGCTCACTGCTTGTGTCAATGAACAAGTGATGAAACTTTCCCTGAAGAGCCCACAGGAAGCACTCAGCCAAGCTGCTTATGCAAACAGGGCCAGAATCAGATTTCCTGGGAGCTGGCACCAGGCAGGAACAGCAGCATGGAGCTCCCCAGGAGCCCCTGAGAGGACGCCTTCACCCCTACCAAGTGTGGAATTTCCTACAGATCTTGGACAGGCTTGGGAAAATGTGCAAAATGTTCTGTAGGCAGGAAGGTGGATTAAGTTAAACTCTGCTCTGTCCCCTGTTTATACCCAGTAGGATGAAAAATATAGATATAGAGCAATATAGATATAGAAATATATAGAGAAATATAGATATAGAGCAATAAAAACCTGTTCAAATGTCACCCAAACCCCAAGGCAGCTCCAGTGCAGAGCAATTCCCCCTTGGCTTGGGGCTCTTCACAAGGAGCAATGGCACATCCCCAAGGGAAATACTGTCACATCATCTTGTCCTGTGCCCTCCCTTTCCCTGGACAAGGCACAGGAATATTGAATGCTAAACCAGTGCAGCAATAACTGCAGCAATATTCAAGATTTAATCCCTCCAAATAATAATTGAAGCAAAAGAAAAACAAAAAAAAAATTATCTGGACCATTCTCCCAGAAGCACTGCCTGCCACAGTTTAGGTATAACACGAAGTAAAATTATCAGGGATGGCTGAGTTTATTGAAGTATTAAAAAAGCATCAGGTTCCTTCTCAGATTTTCAGCTGATCCAGTCAAAATGGGTGTCTGTGCTCCTGCTGCTCCTTCTCCTGCTAAACTCAATTTTGGCAGCCCAGCAGAGCTATCTTGGTGACTCCAAGTTCAGCAGCAGCAGTCCCAGAGATGGAAATGGTTCTGAACTGCCATTTTTATAGACTGTAGAAAAAGGAGACTTCTAGTTAAAACCTCTAAATTCCAAGGTCCTGCTTGCCCCCAGTGTGCTCGAGACAACATAAGCTGGTTATGTGCGAGGTCCCCAAAAATACAAGGCAAGAATTGGAAGCCATGTCCCTGACTAGCACATGTGTGAACACATGTACTAATTTTTCCTCTACAGCTCTACAAAACCTGAGTTTACCACACACAACCTCCATCTCATTTTCACTTTGTGCTAGTTCACAGTTTCACTTTGAGCTTGGGTTCAGAGCAGCTCTGTACAGACCAAGCCAAATTCAGCCCAGCCTCTGTTTGCTTTCAGTTTGAAGTTGTGAGATTTTGCTGCTCCTTAATTAAAGCTCAGAACGAGCAGCTCAAAACCGGGGTACAGCTGCCACAGCATGCAGGTGAAGCTCAAAATGAAAAATGCTGAATAGTTTGGTGCTGTTTTAGTCTTTTTATGGTCTTACAGAGCTCCTCAAGGTTGTCAGAATGTGAGGTATTGATGATTCTGAGATTGTAGAAAGTCTCTGTCTGTCAGCCCCCTGCCAAAGCAGAGCCATAATTGGTCTGTGCTGGTTTCCAGGTTGTTTATTCTGTTTATCTCTCACATGTTCTGCTGCCCTGCCCAGCTCTGTCCTGCAGGGCAGCGTGTGGGGCTCTGCCCTCAGTGGGATGTGACAAACATTAAATACCAGAAACTCCCTGGGCTGCATTTACAAGAACGTGCCAATATCTGTCACCTACGTTGGACAGTGTGTCCCCAGCCTGAACCAACAGAAAAATGCCAACACCACAGTGAGACATGGAGGGCATGAAGAAGGAGAAAAAGGACAAGGCACACCCAATTTCCTCCAGCTTGTCCCCTTTGGACCCCTCATCTAGAATCCTAAAATTTTACTTTTGCACCCATGCCACACTTAACTATTACTGATATCAAACACTCAGAGCTGGTAATTGATCCTGTAAGATTGAAAACTCTTTTCCATGGCCAGAGATCACAGCCAGTGTCTCTGGGGGCTCTGTCCAGGGGAGTTCCTGACCCTGCCAGGGTCCCAGGGCAGCCAGAGGGAAGCTCTGGGTTCCCACAGAAGGTGAGTTTTTATCACAGCCCAGCATGCCCTAGCACTGCAGCTGCACAGGAGCAGCATCAGCTTTGATGTTTTAGATCATTTAGATCATTGCTTAGAGCTGGCAATTTTATTTTTGCCCAGTTCACACTGCCACAGCCAAAATTTTTGGTGCCAGCTGTGCCAAGCACAACCTTGGGCAGATTCTGTCTTCCAAAAAAAATAAACCCATCCACATGTATCATGTTAGGTGTGTGTGGATTCTCACCTTTGAAATAGGGGGAGGAAACAACATCAAGGGCTCCTTCTTTGGCTCTCCCTGAAGTCAGTGGCACAAATCTCAAACCCAGGAGGGCTGAATTCCCCTCCTGCTCTCTGATGGTTGGGAAAAGCTGAATATTTCTGCATGAAGGACTCCACAGGGAGAGCAAAGGAAGACTCTGTTAGCTGAGCTCCGTGGCAGCGAGGATGGGCACAGAAAGCACAGAAAGGGCTGCCCCTGCCCCGAGCCCCTCCGAGCTCTCCCTGCTGCTGATTCCCTGGAGTTTGAATCCAGCCCAAGGCACAGCCATGACGAACGCTTTCTGCAGTTGCCATGGCGACCACGGCCTGCAATTGAACCAGGAATCAACGCCTGAAACAGCCTGACCCACTTTGAAAAAAAAAAAAAATAAAAAACAACCAAAATAATTGTAATAAATAACGCTTTAGAGACCTAATTGCCCAGAGTGCATTCAGGGCCTCACGTCCCCCTGCAGAGCAGCCTTCAGCAGATGAGACAGGTTAAGTGAGGGACGGAACACAAACAAGCCCACCTAAGCAGCAGCCCCTTTGCTCCGAGGTGAAAAACCCTGCACAGAGCATTTGAAGGCACAGAAGGCTGGGTTTGTCTCCTTGGTTTATGTCCTTGCTGTCCCTAAAGGGAAAACCTCATCAAAACCCCATCAGCAAGCATGGTGCGGATGGGAAGGGGCCAAACTCTGCTCAGATGTGGAGGAAAAGCATCAATATCTGCAGCAGTGTAGGAAACAATCTGTAGCCTGCCAATATCTTGGAGCTGGAGAGGGGTTTTTAGCAGAAATTTTAGTGATAGGACAAGGACTAATAGATTCAGAGTGAAATAAAGGAAATTTAGGTTGGATAAATGGAAAGAATTCTTCTCTGTGAGGGTGGGGAGGCACTGGCAGATGGTGCCCAGAGAAGCTCTGGCTGCTCTGTCCCTGGAATTCCAAGGATGGAGCTTGGAACAGCCTGGGAGAGTGGAAGGTGTCCCTACCCATGGGACAGATGATGTTTAAGGGCCTTTCCAACCCAAACCATTCTGGGAGTCTACAAACTTTCCTTCAGCTGGTGAAAAAGAACATTTGGCAAGGCATGGACCAGCCCCTGAGACACCAGGCAAGACACAGAAAGGCCAAATTTCTCCTCCAACAGAACACTCCCTGTAAGGGTCTCAACCAGGTGATGAACAGAACTGCACCAAGCAGTCACTTCTGGGAAAGATATTCCACGAGTTGGGCTTGGTGTCCTTAAAACCACAAAGGAACTCTTTACAACGCTTTCATTTTTCCACAAGAAACCTGGCTTTGCTGCAGTCTGCTAAATGCATTCTGCAAGAATGACCCGCAAGCATCCTGAAGTGACACAAAAGTCTGTCCATCCCAGCAGCTCTGAAACCACAGCCATCCCTGGGACTGACACAAGCAGCTCTTACCCAAACCACAGGTGCCCCAAAGCCAGCAGCC